TCTGGCATATCACGAAGTCGGCAGTTGGTGGTTCGCACCCATTGCAAGTCCTGTAGTACTCTGTGTAGCCATGTATTTTTGTGTACGTGCGCCTTGCGATAAGCATGCGTGAGTAGGCTGCGTAGCGTAGGTGTGCCATGATGTAAGAGGCGACCCAGCAAGCGTAACCTGTGTACTCTAAGCACCGCACGTAAATCCGCCCGTCGTACCCGTGCCAGTATGAGCCTGTCGGGGTCTGCGTCGGAGTCCTTCTGAGGGGCCCTCAGAACCTGACGATATTTGCTGATGATCAGGTGCTGGAGGTGCGCGTGCTGAGCTTCCGTGAGCTCGGGCCATGTGCCTGCATTGTAGAGGAGGCCCGCGAAGATAAGCGTGTCCACAAAGTGCAGTGTGGCCTGTGGTGGGAGCCTAATAGGGGAGCCAAAGACCCGTCTACGCAGTAGTGTACTAGACGACCGCACAGAAGCTTCCCGATGGGCCAACTCGGGCCCGATGGATCCCAATTCGTCCAGCTGCGTGCCCAAGTGCGGGTATGTCCTCACTGCAAGCAGAGTGAAGCGTCCTAGAAGCTCTGATTGGATCTCGAAGCGGCCTTCACGGTCGAGCCATACCTCCCGTTTGGCACGTTTGGCGCCAACTCCTCTCAGTTGAAACAACACCTCCGTCTTGCCTGCGGCGAAATTAAGCCTGATGCCTCTTCTCACAGAGCTGGCAGCGACCACTGCCGCTACCTTGGGCGCAGCTTCGAGCAAGTGCAGAGCTGCTCCTATGACAGCAATCGCACCATCACCAAAAAAGCATACCTCGAGCCCTCCTCGCATAGTGTCGGGTGCTTGCTGCATCATGTCTGACATGGTAGCATGTAATGAAATAGGTATGCGTAGGTATAGCTCCAGCTCCTGCAGTCCCTGCTGAGCTTCCTTCACGCATGCTGCCATTACGTAGTTGAAAATTACGTCGCCTAGCTGCTGTCCTGGCACCGCTCCTTCAAGCGAGCAAGCAACTGCTGACGCTCCTGGGTACCAAAACCAATTGCCTGAGTAGCTGGAGGCCGCGAGCGCGCGTATGTGTCGTGATATCCCCGCTTGTTCCAGTAGTGTGTGATGTGCAGCAATATGAGCCTTGAGGTCCTCAATGGCACCAGGTGGGGGCCCCGCTGTGTGTATTATGATGTGTAAGTCCGCATCTGAGGTGCCCAACTGCATGACTAGCTCTCGCACTGCCCGATAAAAAGCTGAAGCTGCGTCAAGCATGAAAAAGAGCGCTGATAGCTTGAGCGTCTGTGCGAGTTCCTGGAAGGAGCGTATAGCCAGCGCTGCAAGGTCAACGCCTCTCCCCGCAATTCCTCCATACTGTGCATCCCCTGCATATGCAGGGAGGGCTTCTGCGAGCGGCGCCCGCAGTAGTTGTCGGTATTTTCCCAGGCTGGGAGGATGTCATCACAGACCGATGATTATTGCATATGGCCGGGGTAGCTTTCTTTTTCCAGATGTTCCAGTAGTTGCCCCCCTTCCAATGCAAGGGTTCCTCGATGCGGGTGCAAGCTTTGACAGCCGCAGGATAGAACAGGGCTCCCAGGGCCGTGGCAAAGCTTCTGAGAAGGGCCCCTGGGATACCATCTAAGCTGGCAGCTGAGGGCTTGGCGGTGCGGCAAGCTCTTTGGTAGTTGGAGAGGGTGCGGAGAAACACTTCCTCATATGGGATGTCATGTGTGAGATCCTGAGGAAGGGATGGGATACTTCGTGCAAATGCGTTGGCGTCGGCAACTGGCACTGCCACTCCAACTTCTTCTGCCGCAAAGTGGCGAAGCCATCTATCTGCTGCTTCCTCATGGGCGGCAGCCATGCTGCCACCCTCTAGCTCCAGGATGGGTAGGGCTCTGGTGTTTACCTTCTTGGACGAACCTATTTCCATAGCACGTAGTTTGGCAAACACCTGATCATACTGCCTGCGGTCCCATGCATCCGAAACTCCCTGCACAAGGTTGTTGTAATGCTGCAAGGCATCTTGCATAGTCGCATGTCGGATCAATAGTGTAGTATGAAAACGGAGCAGCTCACGATGCGTTAGGACACAAGCACGCACTCCATGCGCATAGTCCCAGCAGCAGGTAATGTAGTCCCATATTCCCGTCTCCACCCCATGTCCCGTTTGATACTCCTGTGGTTTGAAAGGGGGAGGTAGTATGATGGCCGTGACCCCTTGATGACCCCAGTGCGCCAGTCAGCGTGGCTTGCCTATGCCTCTCCCGTTGCCTTGCTGCTTGCGTATATCAGCTTCTCGGCGCAAGAGCGATGCTGTTGCTTGCGGAAGGAGGAGACAAGGCTGCTGTAGCTTCCGCGTGCGTCTTACCAGGGTAGGCAGGCAGGGCATGCGTGCTCTTTTGCTGGGGCCACGTGGCCTCTCATGTTCTGCCTCTGCCGTTGCATAATGCAGCTGCCAGGCGAAAACGATGATACGCACCATGGCTCTGTGAGCCTGCAGCCCGATCTTGCGAGCTAGGCGTAAGTATATACTTCGCTCATCCTGCATACTAAGTGTGCTGGCGCTGATCCAAGATTGCCGAGGCTGCCGTCCCGTCGCCGTCGTACGCACTGGAAAGGCTGTCTCCATGACATATCTCACGTATTCTTCACAGGCCTTGACATGATCTGTACTGTGTACTGCAAAGTCGGGCTGTCGGAGCTGCGTAAGCAAGTGTTGGAATAGCCTGGCGGACACTGGATCCTTGTACATGGCAGGATCGTGCTGCACCTTGTAGGGCCTCGGTGCTGTTGGCACGAAGCTGCATGGTGGGAAAAGTAAGCATGCTGCCACCACGTTGTGGTCTGGCTGCGTGACTGCGAGGTCGATGCCGTGATCGACTCCTTGCGCAGGTACACGTATATCAGAAGACATTGCTATGTAGTCACGCCTCTTAGGTGTGGCCCGTGCTCCTGGGGCCGTCCAGGTACCCGCAGATCCCGAGGGGTCTTCGTAAAAGGTGGATGGAGCCCATTAGGCTGTGCCCTGGAGGAACATGCGGAAACTGTGCCCCGGTAGGTTTTCAGGCTCCGCATGAATGGGCCCCACATGTGCGTCTGTGTGTGATCCCACTGCTGCATTGGCATCTATCAGTGTAACCACATGCTCTGCAGTACCCCTGTGCCGTGTAATAAGCTGCTGTAGTTGTTTCCACCACTGTCGTATATGTGCTGGGGGTCGGCGCGAATGCGGAGCATGGGCAACACATGCGCAAAGTGAGAGCGAAGGGGCCCTTACGGCCACGATCATGATATCTGGCGCTGCATGTAGCACCTGGCAGTGAGAAGGCTGTACATTGCATCCCTCCTGATACTCCCAGTGTGTGTTGATCCATACAGTACATCCATCCCCTCCGGAGTCGTTAGCCTGGGCGTGCAACAAGAAGTACGGGCCAAGCTCGGAGGTGCCTGTCCGTCTGAGACGCGTCTCAACTGTGCCTACTATGAAGTAGGGCCGCTGCGCAAACTGCCCCGCCAGCTGCATCATGCGGCCTGTGGCGTTGAAACCTTGTACCTTGTCGTGTGCCTGTCGGGAACCCTTGTGGGCTCGGGGGTCCAGCGAGAGCACATTGGCCATGGCCATCCAGCCCATGGCAAAAACATGTCGGCCTCGTGGGGGTCTCTTAGGGATCGGTAAGATTTCCCGAATGCCCGTAGTGGGGACCTGAGGCGTAGGGAGAGGCGTACCGTGGTTGGGTGGGTATGCCTGTCGTGTGCTGGAGTCGGAGAAGATGAGTAACCAAATCCAGGGTAGGGCCTTCTGGTGGGGGTCCTGATGTATAAGGGATCTCCACGCAGGCTCAATGAAATCAGGTATACACGCATGGCGTACAGGCGCGCGAGCGTGTCGACGCACTCGTTCCACGGATGTGCAATGTGCCCATGCACGTGCTCGTACGCCACCACAATCACACACGCACGTATGATCTGAGTAAGACTGTCAAGTAGTGTCTTAGCAGGTAGCATCACGCCATGCACATATCCTCCTTGGTATATACGTAGCACGTCCATGTTGTCCGTGTAAGAGCATACCGGAGCTTGTCTGCAACACAATGGTGCTTGCAAAAGCCAAGCTGTGGCCCAAATGGCCGCTTCCAGCTCAGCTCTTAACGGGGCTCTCGCATCAGAAGCATCCCACCCCTGCAAAGGACCCGCTAGATATCCTAGGCAAGAGACCCCGAGAGTGGTGACAGCAAGAACACAGAAAGTCCATGCTGGTGAGCATATCTGCCCCTGATGTTTGAAGGTTCCTGCCGTCGCATCTGTGTATATCTTGAGATGGTCGATCCGGGCCTTCGGGTCCAAAGGTACAAGACTGGCGAAGGCTGGTACTGTAGATGAATGCCAAAACTGAGCCCACGACAGCAAGTCATTGGAAAGCTGGATGGGCCATTTCTTCTCTAGCAACTTCTTGGTAGAGTGGAGCGGCGGTATGGGAGAATAAGGGGCACCTGGCGTTGATTCCACTGGGTGGCTGTGAATCTGGTATCCGAGGTGCTCCGAGCGATTTTCCTCTGGCTTGTCCTCTTCACTGGGGAATGGGCTAGCTGGAAAATCAGGATCTTGGATGGGAATATTTGAATTCAAAGCGGGCCGAGACGCTTCTGACACGACCCCTAGCGAAAAACTGGCGCGGTGGCTGACGTGGCAGCAACAGCGGCCAAAAGCTCGCTGTCGCTGTCATCCTTGCCTGCAGGCTCGGCCTCGGCCCCCGTCGGCTGCCTGGCAGTGTCCTCTGCCTGAACAGCCTCTCTCTGGGCGACGTCGGCTGCACCTGCTCCCATCGATCCTTCTCCCGCCGTGCCTGTGCGCATGGTCTTTGCACCTGCTTGTCCACTGTCTTCATGTCGACGCGGGGAGGCTGATCTCGCTGTGCCGCGGCCTCTCAGCAGCGCTGCCATGCGGGCACGACCTGCCTGCTGGGCCACTGGATCGGCGGGCTGCTGGAACTTCTTGGGGCCGTTCGACTGCGCCGCCATGACCTGCTGGGCTGCCTCCACTGCGGCCTGGCGCATCTTGTTCATGTCCTCCTCCTTCTCCGTTCTGAGCGTGCTGATCTCCGTCTGCAGCGTGGTCACGGCGGCCTGGAAGTTCCTCATGTTGGCGAGCAGCTGCGCATTGCTCTGTTGCAGTGCTGCGAGCAGTGTGGGCATGGCGATGTCATTCGCTGCCGCAGACTGCGCCTCTCCAGGTGGTGTTACCTGCTGATGAGGCTGCGCAGCGGCCCTCGGAGGGGTGGCTGCTACATCTGCCTGTGCGCGAGGGAGTGGTCGCTGCAGTTGAGGCCACTGATGCCTTTCCTGGCGACTGAGGTGTCGGAGCTCTATGTCCTGGTCGAAAGTGTCATGCGGGACCATCTGCCTCGGCCATGCGAATGTCATCATCGTCGTCTTGATCATTAGCTGCTCTTGCTGACATGACTGGTAGCGAATCCTCGAGCTCCTCGAAGTGCTCAGGTAACTGCTCTGCCTGTGTAACTTCCTCTTGCAAATGCTGACATTGGACTTCTGCTGCGTCGATCTGTTCATATAGCAGATTCAGCTTCGCAGTTGCATCTGTCAGGCGTCTGCGGCCTCTATTGGCGAATAACCTTTGTTTAGTCACTCTTGCCTGTGGCGAACGGCTGTGCGTAAACTGATATAACACGACTGCATATTCTTCTTGCAGAGCCGGAATTTGTTGGGCATCTAATGTGAGAGCATCTGCACAACGAGTTTGTCTCTCCAACGATTCCATTGTGGATGTTAGAGCTTTGCGATATTCTCCCAGCAATTTAGGATCCTCTGGCGGATCTCTCCATCTTTTGTGACTGGTGGCAATTTCAGGCGTGGCTGGCAGCAAAGGTATGAGATCGTCATGGGGCTCTTGCTGATCTCCTGCCGTGGATTCTGCTGCATCTCCATGCGTCGGCTGAGCTGAGGCGGCTCGTCTTCTTGGGGCACGTGATGCTGATCTCGTGCGCCATGGTCGCTCACTCGACTGCTGAGGCATGGAGGGAAAACACTTCTTACACGTGTATGAATCCCAGGGGTTGGCACATGCGCACGCTGGACAATCCCATAACTTCTTGAGATTATGTTGTGTGCGCTGCCATGGCACTGACTTCGTGCCTCCCCCTCTGTTCTGGAATTGCCGTGATCCTTGTCTGGCACCCATTGGACTGGAATGGTGCTGTCGGAGTAGTTTTGCTGCTGCTGCCACCTGCACTAGCACTCGAGCTCGGCTGCGAGCTTGGCGTTGGCGGCGATGCCACGCGGGGTCCACCCGCGCTCGTCTGCCTGTCTCCGTGGCAGATGTCTGGACACGGCTGCCCTGCTGCGCGCTGAGCGCGGCGGGCGGGCACGTATGGCAGCAGTCCCGTGGAGGCTCGCAGGGCGTCGGTACTGGGTACCCGGGCGCTGCACCCAAAGCCTCGAACCGGGACGGCGGCTGGAGGAAAGAGGAGGGATCGGGAGCCTCGAGACGGGGGTCAACGCAAACGGGGGTCAGCCAGGGCACCAGATCCTGCAGGATCCTGCGAAGACCCCCTCTGGCTGACCCGGGTTAGGGAGCCGCTCGTGGCCGCGAGGCGGCCGCACACATTGGCTGACCCGGGTTTGCGAAGACCTGCGTTGCAGTTTTTTTTCCTGCATTGCAGTTTTTGGTTTCCTGCTGACCCGGGTCTGGATTGACCCGGGTCAGAAGATCCCCGAAGGGAGGAGGGAGGAGGGAGGAGGGGGGGGATTGAGGAGAAGAAGGGAGGGTGCGAGAGTTGCTACCCGCAGCTGGTTTCGGCCCCGCCTCTGGGCGCGTTCCTCGTTGGACTCGACCACGCGCAGAGGGGGGTAGGGGGAGGGGGGAAGGCTTATTAGAAGCACCCCTGCTTCTTAGAAGGCGCGGGCCTTATCTATAGATGTAAGGCCAACGCCTTCTAAGAAGTAACCTCATTCTAAGAAGCCCTCCCCTGTCCCTCCACCCCCTTGTGCGCACCGCCAAGGAGGGGGAATCGGGAAAGGTGTGGGTGGGCGCGACAACTGCTGCGTCCATTGCAGGTGGCTTCGGCCCCGCTGCTGGGGGGCGCCCCTCGCGAGCATGGCATGACCGCCTCCGGCGCCGGGATGTGCCACGGAAGCCAGCTGCGTGTGCCGAATCGCCAGCCCCCCCCTTGTTCGGGGGCAACGATTGGGAAGATAGGCATAGGGGGGGATGCATCGACCCGGGCCCCCAATCGCCAATTGATCGCCGATAGGGGCCTGATAGCCTCAACCTGCCTAGGAAGGTGCGGATTCACGATCGGAGGCCTATCGCCGATCTATCGGCGATGTATCGGCGATTCCAGGTCGATGTTTCCCCCCTGTCCCTATCCCCCCTTATCGTTGCCCCCCCTTGTGCTCCCCGCCCCCCACCTCTCGCCCGACCCGAGACCAGCCGCGAGGACGCACCAGGGTGCCGACTCCTCGCTGATCGTGGTCCTCTGCGCCGCGGCGGTGGTGGTGATGCTGGCCTACCCCGCCTGGCTCTCCTGGAGGACCGCCTCCCGCTCGGCAGGGCTCGCCGCGACCCCGCTTGTCGGAGCTCGCGGAGGCTCGAGAAGAAGCATCTTGCACCACGCATCCATGTCTGTTCTGCTCGGAGTTCGAGGCGGCTCCGATCCGATTCTCGCCAGCTTCGGCCTCCTGCGGAGGTCCAGGTCGGGCCCTGCATGGGACCGTAAGAAAGACCGATCCGCGGAGCGAATCTGGCAGGACGGACTTCGGGAGGGGTTCGGGCGCCGCGCCAACACGGCGGCGACCTCAGCGCGGGCGTTGATCGCCGCCGGTGGCCCAGAGTCGGCCGACATTTCGATCCGCGCCACCGAGAAGCCGCGATCTCCTGAGGTTGAGCGGTCCCCGCGGTGCCAGGAAACCAGCGCGCCCAGTTGTCACGACACGAACCCGCCGCGCCTGCTTCCCCGCCTCCTGCACGGGGGAGGTGCCGATCTTTTTCGGAACCGACGCAGAAAGGGGGCCCTGCGGAGGGGTCGAGTGGCGTTCCCGCTGGAGCGGAGGAATTTGTGCGATGTCGCTCGCCGCTGGCCCAGGAAGACATCCCAGTATCGGCTGCAAGTCGCTGGGCGAGATGGCAGCTGGCAGCTGCGCTTCGCGCGCGGTGGCCTGGGCCAGAGAGGTGGTCTTCTCTGGTGTGGCGGGCGTTCCGCGCAGCGCGGAACCCGAACTGAGGTGAGCTACGGTCCCGGCAGCTTCGGATGAGCTGAGCCGATATCTTAATTACGTGGTCTTCTTCAAGTGCGCTGTGCTACGCGCAAGGCTGGCTTATCGTTTGCTGAAGACTCGGCCCGAAAGCTCGCCCAGGCGCTCAGGTATCCCAGGGTAGCGTGTTGTGCTCCATTGTTTTCTGGCCGCCTGTCATTGCGAATGTGAGGTGGGAATATCTTGTCAGATTGATTGCTTTGCCTTCTCGCCACCGGTGGTGTCTTTGCCTCCGCCGCTCCGACGTGCTCTCCTTGGTGGCGTCGACGCTTTCACGCGTAGGGGGCAAGAAGTTTCGCCGCCAGGCAATGGGGTCCTCATTACCGTCGTTGCCGTCGTCAGCATCGTCATCGTTGTCCGCGACGTCGTTGTCGTGAGTCGTAATCCGTCATCTTCGTCGTAAGGCGTCGTCGATGTCGTCGTCGATCGTGGTCGTCGTCGTTCGTCGTCGCCGTTGTCGTTGTGAGTCGCTCGTCGTCGCCGTCGTGAGTCGTTGGCGTCGTCGTCGTTGTCCTCGTCGTGAGTCGTGAGTCGTGGTTGTTTGCGTCCGTCGTGGTCGTCGTCGTTCGTTGTCGTCCATTGTGGTCGTCGGTGTTGTCGTTGCCGTCGCCGTCGTCGTCAGCGTCGCCCACTGCCGTCCGGCGTCGTCGTCAGCATCGTCGTCGTCATCGTCGTCCTGCGCTGCAGCTTGCCGCCAGCAGGAGGAGGAACGACGTGGGCAGAGAGCCGTCGTGGTGGTGCGCTGGATCCAATCCAGCTCAGCTGGCGTCGGGAGCTTCGGATCCGACAGCTGCGCTCGCATCCTCCGCTTCAGCCTCCCTCTGTTGCCCTTCCTGCCCGCCTCCCACCCTCCCGAGTCCCTGCCGCCGTGGGAGTCTCGGTGGCCCATGGTTTCGGTCTGGGAGTGCTAGTCGCGTCGGGTGCGGACTCCCCAGCTGCCTGACCGCGAGAGGTTCTTGTTCCCCACATATGTTTAGGCATAAGGGTTCCCACCTGGTCATGAGGACTGCAAGCTCCGAGACCTCTGCCGGCTTCGCTGATGTGGCTGCTGTCAGATCTGGAGTCGACGTTGGTGTGATTGTCACAGATTGTTTGTTTGCCCACGCCGAGCTGTCTTGCCGCAGTGCTTCGCACGTCTCCCTCCATCGTCCCCCCCTCTATCCCCCCGATTCGCCTCGTGCCCCGAGGAGGCCCCGCACTGGCTTGCTCGGGCGAGGCAGGGCTGGCCGCCGCCTCTGCAGCCGAGGCTCAAAGGACGGGCCCAGACGCGGCAGCAAGACACCGCTCGGGTTCGGCAGGGGTTCGCTGCTCCTCGGGGCCTTCCGTGGCTGCTCCTTTGGCGGTTCTCGTGCACCCACGGCCGCGTGTGAGAATGCGAGAGGGGGCGTGGGAGAAGGCGGGTGGCGCTTCTGCGCACGCCGCTCCCGGTCCCAGCCCCAGTCTTCCCGTGCACCCAGACTGGTTTCAGGGCCAGAGCCGGGAGCCGTTCTTTCGCCAGCGTTGCTTGTGGCAGCAGCTCGGCTGTGTTCTAGGCCTCCCGGACGGGGTCCAGGCAGTTGTGGTCGGAGTATCCCGTTGCATCGCCGATGCATCGGGGATGCGGCTCGAGGTGGGGCTCGGTTTTCTCCTTGCCGACGTCGCCGATGCACCTCCGACGTCGCCGGTGCGTCGGCGATGCGTCGGCGATGCGGCGCGATCCCCCGACCCCCTCCACTCGGATCTTCATCTGGGAAGCCTCCGGGTGTGCGGTCCTGGGATGGCCTCTCCGAGCTCCCAGGGCGGGTTACGTGTGTCGCGCATGTGCGACAGCACGGCTCCCTCCACTCGGACCCCCTCCTCTCGGGTCTTCCTCCGGGAGGCCTCCGGGTGTGCGGTCATGGGGTGGCCTCTCCGAGCTCCCAGGGCGGGCTGCGTGTGCCGCGCGTACGCGGCAGCACGGCTCCTCGGCCGCGGGCCTCCCGCTCCCCCGCCCGCCCGCGCCCACGCCATCCCGTGGCCTCCCCTCCAGGGGGGGGAGCCCCGCCCTGGCTCGTCCGCCCTCCTGTCCTGCCCCTAGCGGGCCCCGGGAACGGCAGGGCCGTGTTTGTGCCGCTTCTGAAGAAAAAAGTGTCTCTTGAAAGTGGAGGCGGCAAAGAAAAGGCGACCGGAAGCGGCAACAAAGACGGCTCCAGGATTGGAGCCAGAGCCGGAGCTCGTAAAAAACGGCGACGGAAGCGGTAACAGAAACGGCGTTGCAACCAGCACAAAAGCGGCAAAACGGAATTGGTAAAAAAAACCGGCCTTGTCGTTGCCAGGGCCCACTAAGGTCCTGCCCCCCCCTTACAGCCAGGTCGATCTTCTTGCTGTGCTGCTGCATCATCGCTTGGGCGCCCGGCGTCGTTGACAAGAGTCAGAGAAGGAGGAAGATGTCAATCGAGGGGCGACGACGAGAAGGAGAGCTAGGAGGATCAGTGGGGTGATGATGATGATGACGATGATGATGATGATGATGATGCTGATGATGATGATGCTGATGATGCTGATGCTGATGCTGATGCTGATGATGATGATGGTGGTGGTGATGATGATGATGATGATGATGATGATGATGATGATGATGATGATGGTGGTGGTGGTGATGATGATGCTGAGGAGGAGGAGGAGGAGGAGGAGGAGGAGGGGGCGGAGGAGCATGATACGATGATATGATGTTGCTGCTGCTGATACTGCTGATGCTGCTGATGCTGATGCTGCTGCTGCTGCTGCTGATGATGATGATGATGATGATGATGATGATGATGATGATGATGATTAGGAGTATGATGATGATGGTGGTAGTGGTGGTGATGATGATGACGATGATGATGATGATGAGCATGATGATGCTGATACTGATGATGATGCTGCTGATGATGTTGGTAATGCTGATGACGATGCTGATTATGATGCTGATGACGATGATGATGACAATGATGCTGACGCTGCTGATGATGATGGTGGTGGTGGTGGTGGTGACGGTGGTTTTGGTGGTGGTGATGATGATGATGCCGCTGATGATGATGACGATGATGACGAGGAGGAGCAGGAGGAGGATGAGGAGGATGAGGATGAGGATGAGGAGGATGAGGAGGAGGAGAAGGGGAGGAGAAGGAGAAGGAGAAGGATAAGGAGGAGAGTCACTACGACGACAGCCGCGTGGACGGCGAGGATTCTGAACGATTAAGAACAGGACGAGAAGGAGTCTGAACGATGAGGAGGGGAAGGGAAAAGGACGAGGATGAAGAGAATGGAGAAGGGGACGAAGGGGTTCATGAGGATGACAGGGGCTTAAGGGAATCAGGATGACAAGGAGGCTGATGATGAGGAGGAACAGAAGTTGGGAGTAGGTGCAGCAGGAGGAGGATTTCGATCATGGAGACATGCACCAGCCTGAATCAGCCGAGCTCTGCTTAGTCGTATGAGCGTGGCAGCCGAACTCTGCTTGAGCGTACCATGCACTGCAGCTGCGGTTCAGGGTTCTCATGTGCTTGGTCCTACCAGAGGGCCGACGAAGAAAGGAGACGTGCGTATTGAATTTGTACAATGCAAAAGAAAGTACAGTGTTGCGTGGGCCAGATTACTTTGCGATCCTGAGTACCCTGACGGACGGAAGTTTGGCCCGAGACGTTCACTTGCTGATTGGACAGCAGATATTGAAGCCCACACTGGGCGCAGCAAGAAGTCAGGGAATCGCTGTCATGTTTTGTTCCCTTTTCGACCTGATGACGCAGGCAAAGATATTGTATGTGCTATATGCGGACAGACTTCAAGAAAGAAGGCGAGTCTGTGGTTTTACTGTAATATATGTAGCAATCGCTGATGTGATGATATTGTGGAGAGTGATCGGCATCTATTATCAGATTTAGTGCTGATCGATACCTACTTACTTTTAATTACTGCGGACGTGGGCCAAAGTGAAATATCCCAGTACAGATACGGAGAACGCCTCGTCTAGAAATGAGCGGGCGACGAGTGCGACAAGGATTGTCGGGGCCCTGATTTGGAATTTGTCTTTGCATTTCTCAGACGGCTCGTGTCTGAGATTAGCCGCATCCGCCCTTGTGGAAAGCAAATGTAGCAACACATCTTATCCTTTTCCATGCGAACAAGCTAAAGGGGAGGGTGAACATGTGTGCCAACCACCTGCCGTTCGCCCGGCGAGGGCTGTTCCGCTGGGGTCGGTTTCGCCCCGTAGGTTTCGCGAGGGTCGGTTTCGCCGGAAGTCGGTTTCGCTGTGGTCGGTTTCGCCTTGGTCGGTTTCGCTGGAAGTCGGTTTCGCTGGGGTCGGTTTCGTTGGGTCGGTTTCGCCTTGGTCGATTTCGCTGGAGTCGTTTTCGCTGGTGTCGGCTTCGCACGCGGTCGGTTTCGCTGGGGGTCGATATCGCCTGCGCGGGTGGTTTCGCCGAGGTCGGATTCGCCGGGGGCGGTTTCGCCAGGCGCGGTTTCGCCAGAGTCGGTTTCGCCAGGGTCGGCTTCGTTGAAGCTTGTGTGTCCAGCGATGGCATGAGCTCACAGCGGGCGTGTCTGGTCGGACAGGCAGACCTTGACGGGCGGGTCGGGTCAGGCGGGCGGACCGGCGGGACGGGTCGGGCGAGAGGGACATTCAAGAATGATGCATCATCGATTTTGCACGCGTGCGCAGCAGGCGGGTCGGGTCGTGCCAGCGGACCATGACGGGTGCATCGAGTCGTGAGGGTGGTCCTGACAGGCGGGGCAGGTCGGGCAGGCAGGACATTCACGTATGATTCACATACAGTACGATGCATCATCCTGCTGGCACACCCTAGCGGGCGTGTTGGGTTGAGCGGGCTGGCCCGAACGAGCGGGACGGATCGGGCGGGCGGGACATTAAATTATGATGCGCCATCGAGTTGGCATGCGTGCACCGCAGGCGGGACGGGTCGGGCGGGTGGACCTTGTCGGGTTGGTCGGGGCGGGCGGGCGGCGGGCGAAACCGACCAGGCGAAACCGACCGTGGCGAAACAGACAGGGCGAAGCCGACCGCGTGGTTAATCCGCTTGGAGAAGCCAACCTGGGCGAAACCGTTTGGGGAAAGCCGACGGTGAAACCGAACCCGGTCGAAACAGACGGGGCGAAGCCGACCGCGAAATTCGCCGGGCGAAGCCGCAGGGCTGTATAATTTCAAAGTAGCAATGTGGTGGTGAGCATGAAATCTCACAATTGCTGCAATTCCGCCCGGCGGCACGGTCAACAATCGGATGCGCAGAATTCGGACCAGCAAGCTGGACGGCCGAAACGCCGATAGTCTGCCTTCTCGCATCTGTCACGTTGCGTTCCCTCGCTCTGGCGGCACGTCGCCTTGGTCCTTCCGCGCTCGGCGCGCGCCGAGACGGCCGGCGGAGGGCTGCCCTCGAGCCGCAGAGGCTCGACCTGCGCGGGACGGGGGGGGGGGCACGACGCCCCCCGCCCGCTGCACCGCAGGGAGGCGCCCGGCGGCCCGAGGGCGCAGCGCTTGCGGAGCACGGTCGTGGGGAGGGAACGCCGGGCGAGGGGCGAAAGCCGGGCGAGGAGCACAGTGGGGAGGGAAAGCGGGGCGATGGGCTGCCAAAACCGTGGCTGCTAAAAGCGGCCCTCCCGGAAGGAAAAAAAACAACTTCCCGGAAGGAGGCGCGGCACGCGAAACATAGGGGGCCACATGCGAACCCTACTCCTGCCCCCCACGATTTCTGAGGGGGAGGGTGGGGTTCACTGCGCTCGAGAGATCCCGAACGAAGTGAACCCCACCCTCCCCCTCAGAAATCGTGGGGGGTAGGGGTAGGGTTCGCATGTGGCCCCCTAAAACAGTCAACGGGCTTCTTCCCGGAAGGACGACGACAACTTCCCGGAGGCCGATTTCAGCAGCCACGAATTTTAGCAGCCTTTGCTCCGCTTCCGAGTGGAGCCAGTAGTGCCAAGTCGGGCCCGTCCCTCTCCAGGAGGAGTAGTCAAAGACAGTATCTTCGAACAACGGAGACGAGTTTTCAGTATGTTCGGGTATTTGTTGAGCATCTTTTGAGTAGTTTTACTTGCTCGTCCCAAATCCGCCTGTAGGGGGACGTGCCCGACCTAACAATAATGTGAGCTCCTTCGTTCTCTTTGGCGTGCAGGGCCGCCCAGACCAGCCTGGTGTCGCGTCCAGTGCGTCCTCCCCCCTTTCCCTTGCCCACTGCTGCCTCTCTCGCCCCTGTCCTGCTGCTTCTCCCCTCTCCCTCCACACTGCTCCTCGACGTGTCCACAAGTGTCTCCCCCAGCCAGCCGCCCGCGCACCGAGGTGCTTGCGGCGGTGCTCGGCTCCATCAACTATGGTCTTTCGGCCGAGCTGCGCGAGTACGAAAAGCTGGAGAGAGGGAGGGGCAAACAATAAGAGAGAAAAAGAGAGAGAGAGCGAGAGAGAGAGAGAGAGAGAGCAAGACAAAGCATACAATACATGATTCTCGGGCTTACGCCACACCGCCGACCCCTTGGGGTGCTTCGTTTGGGTGCGTCGGTTTTTTTTGTGGGGCGGGCCCTGGGCAGTCCGGCTGCAGATGCAGGCTTTGTGGTGTACGTGTGCGTTTCCGGGTAGGGGTGGGGTGAGGGGGGTCTCAAAGTGTCATGTGTTAGTGTTCCGTGCGCGTTGTTCCATTGAGTGGCGCAGTATGGGTTGCTATCGGGTCGCCCACCAACGTGCGCAATTAATCAACCCGACTGGGCTTTGGGGGGAGGGGTTTGTGGAGGGCGACACATCACACACGCCGATGATCCCCAAGGGGTCGGCGGTTTTCACGCCGTTCATATGTGGTAGCGGAGCAGCGGTTCCTTCCGCGGTTCCAGCGCAGATTCTTGTTTTGGTGTCAAAAATTAGCCTGGCGAAGAACCCAACCATATGCAGTTGTCAGTACCGCAGCTGCGGGTTTCATCTTCAAAGGAACTCCCCATAGGACCACGGAACGTGTGAGGGGTGTGCCGAGATGGGTGCCACTGGGGCATTCGGTGAAGCTCCCTATGGGGACATGAAACGCGCGGGGCGTGCCGACATGGGTGGCGGAAACGCATGTGAGGGCCGCCACTGGGGCCTCCAAGGGAGCTCCCTATGGGTCCCCGAAACATGATGCTGCTGCGGGGGGGGTGCCGGGATGGGTGGCGGAGACGCATGTAAGCGCCGCTACTGGGGCCTTCGGTGGAGCTCCCTATGGAGCCACGAAGCGCGTGAGGGGTGTACTGTGAGCGCCGCCACTGGGGCCTTCGGTGCAGCTCCCTACGAGGCCACGAAACGTGTGAGGGGTGTGCCGAATTGGGTGCGGGTGGTGACGCATGCGGGCGGTGCCACTGGGGCCTTCGGTGGAGCTCCCTATGGGGCCACGAAACCTGTTGTTGTGAGGGGCGTGCCGGGATGGGTGGCGGGGACGCATGTGAGCGCGGCCGCTGGGGCCTTCGGTGGAGCTCCCTATGGGGCCACGAAGCGTGTGAGGGGTGTGCCGAATTGGGTGTGCGGGACGCATGCGGGCGGCAGCCCTGGGGCCTTCGGTGGAGCTCCCTATGGGGCCACGAAACGTGTGAGGGGTGTGCCGAATTGGGTGTGCGTGACGCATGCGGGCGGCAGCGCTGGGGCCTTCGGTGGAGCTCCCGATGGGGCCACGAAGCGTGTGAGGGGTGTGCCGAATTGGGTGTGCGTGACGCATGCGGGCGGCAGCGCTGGGGCCTTCGGCGGAGCTTCCTATGGGGCCACGAAACGTGTGAGGGGTGTGCCGAATTGGGTGTGCGTGACGCATGCGGGCGGCAGCGCTGGGGCCTTCGGCGGAGCTCCCTATGGGGCCACGAACGTGTGAGGGGTGTGCCGAATTGGGTGTGCGTGACGCATGCGGGCGGCAGCCCTGGGGCCTTCGGCGGAGCTTCCTATGGGGCCACGAAACGTGTGAGGGGTGTGCCGAATTGGTGTGCGTGACGCATGCGGGCGGCAGCACTGGGGCCTTCGGCGGAGCTCCCTATGGGGCCACGAAACGTGTGAGGGGTGTGCCGAATTGGGTGTGCGTGACGCATGCGGGCGGCAGCACTGGGGCCTTCGGCGGAGCTCCCTATGGGGCCACGAAACGTGTGAGGGGTGTGCCGAATTGGGTGTGCGTGACGCATGCGGGCGGCAGCACTGGGGCCTTCGGCGGAGCTCCTATGGGGCCACGAAACGTGTGAGGGGTGTGCCGAATTGGGTGTGCGTGACGCATGCGGGCGGCAGCACTGGGGCCTTCGGCGGAGCTCCCTATGGGGCCACGAAGCGTGTGAGGGGTGTGCCGAATTGGGTGTGCGTGACGCATGCGGGCGGCAGCGCTGGGGCCTTCGGCGGAGCTCCTATGGGGCCACGAAACGTGTGAGGGGTGTGCCGAATTGGGTGTGCGTGACGCATGCGGGCGGCAGCACTGGGGCCTTCGGCGGAGCTCCTATGGGGCCACGAAACGTGTGAGGGGTGTGCCGAATTGGGTGTGCGTGACGCATGCGGGCGGCAGCACTGGGGCCTTCGGCGGAGCTCCCTATGGGGCCACGAAACGTGTGGGGTGTGCCGAATTGGGTGTGCGTGACGCATGCGGGCGGCAGCACTGGGCCTTCGGCGGAGCCCCCTATGGGGCCACGAAACGTGTGAGGGGTGTGCCGAATTGGGTGTGCGTGACGCATGCGGGCGGCAGCACTGGGGCCTTCGGCGGAGCTTCCTATGGGGCCACGAAGCGTGTGCGGGGTGTGCCGAATTGGGTGTGCGCGACGCATGCGGGCGGCAGCCCTGGGGCCTTCGGCGGAGCTCCCTATGGGGCCACGAAACGTGTGAGGGGTGTGCCGAATTGGGTGTGCGTGACGCATGCGGGCGGCAGCACTGGGGCCTTCGGTGGAGCTCCCTATGGGGCCACGAAACGTGTGAGGGGTGTGCCGAATTGGGTGTGCGTGACGCATGCGGGCGGCAGCAAGGAGGCAGCGGGAGGAAGGAAGGAAGGAAGGAAAACGCGGGGCACCGTCTCTTCAAAACGAGGACCCAACACCACAGGATGGTTGGGAAATAAAGTAGTGCTTACGGTTTTCGTGGCCCGCGCCCGCGGCTGGCGTCGCAGCCTCAGCGCGGAATTCGAGGCAGGGTTCTGCAACATAATGTGAGGTCCGCGTCTTGGGGCCGTTTCGGAGCCTATGGGGGGCGTCTTGGGGGTTCCTTGGGGCGTCTTGGGGGCGTCTTGGGGCCTCGTGCCTCGGGGGCGCCGCGGACATTCTCCGCGCCGCTATCACGGCTGAGGAGGGGATAATGAAAAAGGCTGCTGTTCGAGCTTGGAAGGGCCGTTTTAAACGGTGGGGTCCCGACGCTGCCAAGGCGGCTGCCCAGCGGGTTCAGCCACCTCCTGCCCCCGTGACGTTTTCGGCGACGGACATGCGCACGGAATGGGCGCGGCACTGGTGCCCAGGCGTCGCCCCTGCCACTCCGAGGGGCCCGGGTCCCGGGCTGGGGAGGGAGGCGGCGGAAACGGGCGACCCCCTCGTCTTTGCGCAGGCGTGGACCGAGCTGGCGGACGCCGCCGGCGTGCCCGCGGCGCCTCCCCCCCGCAGGTGGATACCGCCGTCCCGGGCGGCGTTCCGGCAGCAGGTGGCGAACCTCGCGGGCTCGGCCAGCCTGGGCGGCTGGGAGGCCAGCGAGGCGAGGGCGCTCGTGGTTGGTGGACGAGTTGCACGACCTGCGTCGCGGCCGCCGAGGCTAGCGTCGAGGCGCTTCCTGGGCTTGCCCAGGCAGACCAGTCTGGCGAACAGCCAGGAGGGCTGGCCGACTGCGCGGCCTTCGGCGCTGGCGGCGTCCAGCCTGGGAGGGATACCCCGCCTCGGCGCGGCGACGCGGGCTCTGCTCGGGGCGATCCGCCTGGGGGCGCGCGCCGCCCGGAGAGCGACCGCGTTTTCCCTGAAAGTGTGTTCGCCTTCCGGGTGGCGGGTATCCCCAAACGGGGGTCCTCGGACAGCCGCCCGATTTGCGTGCCCAGCGTCTGGTACAGAGCTTGGCACGCCACGCTGTTGCGGTGTCTCCCGCCTGGGCCGGCCGAGACCTACGGCGAGGCGGGCGTGGTCGCGTCGGTGGCCTCCTGGTTGTCGGCGGAGGGGCAATGTGGGGCGGAAGTTGATTTGATGAAAGCCTTCGATAGGGTCCCCCACGAGGTTGCCAGAAAAGCCTTGGAGCGCGCGGGGGTGCCCCCTCCCGTGGTGTGTTCTCTCGTCGCTGGCTGGACTGCGCCTCGTTTTTGCGCCGTGGCCGGGGAGATGGCCGACCCCCTCTTCCCCACGAGGGGGATACCCGCGGGTGACCCGGTTTGCTGCCGTGTGCTCTCTTTAGTGTTGGCGCCGTGGCACGGGCTGGTGGGCTCCTGCGGGGCTGGACACTGGAGCTACGTAGACGACCGGTTACTGAAGACGAGCACGTTGGGGGACCTCCAGTCCCAGCTGCAGGTCACCCAGGAGTTCGACGCCGCGGTCGGCTTGACGGAGAACGACGGCAAGCGGCAAATGTGGGCGGGGTCTGGCGCCGCCGAGCACCTGGGCATAATCGCTCAGCCAGCGGCTGGCCTCCGACCGCACTTGCCCCCGCCGAGGGACGGTTGGGATCCCGTGGTGGAGGCGGCCCGGCGCGCTCGGTGCGTCCCAGGCGGAGCCGAGTTGCGGGAGCAGGTCGTAAAGTGGGCGTTGAATAAGTACATGTGGGCGGCCCCCTTCGTGGAGCATCCGCCAGCGGCCCTGGCGAGGGAGCGCATGAAAGCCATATCGGCGCAGAAATCGACATGGTGGTGCGCCCGCCGCTTCTGGGTGGACAGGATCATGACCCACCCCAGCCTGGCGTTGTCGCGCCGGACATTGCAGGCGGCGCGCGGCCTCCCGTGGTCGAGCATGCTCGAGGTGGCTCTGGACGCCCATTGTTGCAAGCTGGGGCTGCGCATGGCGGACTTGCCCGGCCCCCTCCCGGAGGGCATCTGGGTGGTTCCAGGGGTTGGCCTGGACCGCCGTGCCTGGGTGGCGGCGGAAGGGGCGGGGGTGCGCCACCTTGGAGGTGCGTTCGACGCGTCGAGCCCCAGGGGCCAGCATGTCCTTCGCGTCTGCGCGCGGGCCTCCCTGCTGCTGGAGCGCAGGGCTGGGGCGCGGCGCGACGAGGAAATGCTGGGCGCGGTGGGCATCGAAGCTTCGAGCCACCCGGGTCCGTGTGGCGGGCCGGGGCCGCGTGGACGCCGACCCGCCGTTGGTCTGGGCAGGGTCGATTAACGGCGTGTCCTTGGTGCGGGTTTGACAGGGCTTCTGCTCGCCATTTCTGGGCGGACTGCCCGAGGTTTCTCCAAGCCAGAAGGGCGTTGGAGGAGGGGCCGCTGGCAGTCCCCCAGGGGTGGTGGGGAGCTCCGCCTCGGGTGACGGCCAAGTCTGCTTGGGTTACTTATCGCGCGGACCCGAGCCCGCGCCGGCGGGCCCAGTTGCAGCTCGCCGCGGCGCAGCTGGCCCTGCAGGTCATGGAGGCTTTGCAAGGCAGCGGAACGGGGGGCCCCAGCGCCCCGAGGCGGGGGCGGTTGGAAGTGTTCGGGCACGAAGCGGCGGATTCCTCTCAGCGGTCGCTGGCGGAAGATTTCCCGCGGGGCGTCGCGGAAGTCGGGCCGGCGGCGGCCGGCGGTGCCAGAGCGTCTTCGGAAGGAGCGTATCCGTCTTCCTCTCCTCCCCCTGGCCCCCTGGCCGGCGGGGCGCGGGGTCCCTGGTCGGCCGCGTAGGTGTCCTGGCGCGGTGTCCCGACGGTGTCTCGTTACGGGGGGGCCCTGCCCCCCCCGCGCAGGGTGAGCGTTGATGGCCCTCAGGCTGACGGCGCGTCTTTGCAGTCCGCGGCCAACGTCGCGACGGCAGCCGCGGCGGGCGGCCCTTTCCCCCCCCTCCTCTCGGCGGCGGCGGCGGAGGCGGCGGCCCCGTCGGCGCCCCATCCTTCCTCCGGGGGGGGCGGATGAGTGGACTGAAGCTCTGGCAAGGCGCCGGCAGGCAGAACCATCTGCCACGGCGGCCTCCGAGCAAGCTGACCCCGCGCGCCCCGGCCAAAGGCTGGGGAGCACGCGGCAAGGCCAAAGGGCGCCTGCCGCATTTTCATTATATCAAGCCTTTGGCGGCCTCTTGGGGCACTCGTGGGGCCCCCTGGGGCTCCTGAGGGCGGAAAGCTAGATGTTTTGAATTGTTTGTGGCCCTCTTAATTGGTCCCCTCTCGGTGCCGACTTGGGGCCCTCTTGGGCCGTCTTGGGGACCTCTTGGGCCGTCTTGGGGCCATCTTGGGCCGTTTGGGGGCCGTCTTGTAGGCCTCTCGGGCCGTCTTGGGGCTGTCTTCGGGGCCTCTTGGGCCGTCTTGGAGCGTCGGGAAACCGAAAAGGCGACACGACAAAACAACACAGAAAAACACTTTGGGAAATCAACAATTTTAGCCTCTCGGGGCCCTCTGGGGAGGCTTGTTTGGGACCTCTTGGGCCGTATTCGAGGCCTCTTGGCCCGTCTTGGGGTCATCTTGGGCGTCTTGGAGCGCTGGTTTGGCGTCTCGGGGCCCTCGTGTGCCGTCTTGGGGGCCTCTTGGGGCCTTCTTGGCCCATCTTTAGGCCTTCTTGGGCCCAGAAGAGCCCGTGAGTCGCTCGTCGCCCCCCCCCCCCTCCAAATCGACCGGACCGGGCTCCCGGGGGAGGGGTTTGGGGGGGGGCATCTCACGCGCCGATGATCCCCAAAGGGTCGGCGGACATGTAAGTAAGAGAGAGAGAGAGAGAGAGAGAGAGAGAGAGAGAGAGAGAGAGAGAGAGAGAGAGAGAAAAAAAAGGACAGGTGTTCATGAAGGAATGCACTAGCTGCAGAGAGAGAGAGAGAGAGAGAGAGAGAGAACGCACCGACGCACATAACAACGCATCATACCTACATGCGTACGATTACATGTGTGAGCATGCAGGGGGAGATAGGGAGAGAGAGAGAGAGAAAGAGAGAGAGAGAAATGACAAAGCATGAGCCAGCGAGCCAGCGAGAGCCTGCGAGGGATTAGTGGGGCGAAGACGAACCGCAGAACAGCTGCAGGCGTACTGCTGGCCCTTGGAGGGTCCAAGCAGGCTCGTCAACCTTTCGGTCCGATGTGATCTTTCTCCGAAGGCAGCTCCAGCACACCCGCTGGGACATTCCCAGTCGACAGGACTTGCGCGGCACAGCGAGGGGTATAATGTCCTGTCAACCCGTACGGTTGGAGCCGTGCTCGAGATTGTTGTTTCCCTTTTTCCTTCGCCGTCCTCCCCCTCCTCCTGCTCGGATGCGGATGGACCTTTGGGCGCCCACGGCGGCGGACTTCGACGAGGCTGCGAAGCTGTTGGAGAAGCTGCGTGAGCAGCCGCGCCTCGCCGAGTTCGCCCCGCCCACCGCCGTCGACCTGCGCGCTGGTCGACGTCCGCCTCCTCGCCTCCGACGGAGGCCTTCGCCCGCGCGGTGGGCGAGGAGGCCCTGCGCCGCGCGGGGCGCCGCCCGCGGCCGCGGCGTGCTGGGCGCCCGGGGGCGCTGCGGCTCCCTGGGCCGGGTGCCGCCGGGGCGCGCGGCGGCGAGCCGCGGCTTCCATGAAGGGGCCCCACGACACACAAAGAAATACACACGAATGACAAAAATCTTCATATTTTCCCATACTTTCTGGGTTTTTTGTCATCCCCCCACTTCCTATTTTCACATATTTTCTGGGGAATCGACGATTAATTGGGTTTGTGTGTTTTTGTTCCCTCCTGATTCCAGACCGTCGCCCTGGCCCTGGAGTTGCGGCAGTGCACGGCAGGGCGCGTCCTGCTGCAGGGCGCGGCTGCCTCGCTCGTGTGCCGGCCTTCGCGGCCCGTCCTGCAGGGCTCGAGGTCGGGCACGAGGCCGAGGCGCCGCACCTGCCGCGCCTTGTACCTGGCGGTTCGTGGCCTGCCGCGCATGCTGATGCTGCGGATCTGCGTCGACGACTCGTCGTTGTCCAAGGTCGGCTCGCGCGCCGCCGCCGTCGACGAGGCTGGCGCCAGCAGCGTCGAGCTCCGCCCGCTGCTACAGCCGGAGGGCTTCACGGTCTCGTGCACCCACCACGCCGAGGCGGTGAGGATTGCTGCATCGGTGCGCCGCCGAGGGCACCGCGTCGCGGCTGTGCGCCAAGGCTCCTGCTTGGGAGTCGACCTTAGCGCTGGAAGGCGGGTGTCCGTGTCCCGAGGCGGCCCCCGTGGCCGCGAGATGCGGTCATTGGGGGGGTGCCAGGGTGGGGCGCTCGAGGTTGAAGCCGAGGTGTCCCGAGGCGGCCCCCCAGGCCGCGGGACGCGGTCAAGGGGGGGTGCCCGGAGGGCGCTCAAGGTTGAAGCCGAGGTGCCTCGAGGCGCCCCCGCGGACGCGAGACGCAGTCAAGGTGAGGTGTTTGGGGGGCGTTCAAGGCTACAGGCGTGGAGCCCTGGACGCCCCCCTGGCCGCGGGACGCGGTCAGTGAGGGGTGCCTGGGGGGCGCTCAAGGTTGGAACCGTGGTGCCCTGGACGCTCCCCCCATTCGCGCGGGAGCGGCTGGCGATGGTGCCTGGGCCGTGCGCGCTGGTAGCAGCCCATGTCCACGGCTTGGGAGTGTGGCTCACCGCTTCGCCTTGGTCACGCTCCCAGCTCGAGGGGGAAAGCAGGAGAACGTGTGCCCGAATTTGTGTTCTTGCTTTCATTTGGCTTGCGTTCCCGTGCCCGCCTAGCTGTAGGCTGTTGGCCGTACCCCAGCCCAGGTAGAGTTCTCGCTTCGGCGCCAGCTGCACTGCCAACCTGGACTGGCGCTCCCGCCCAGACGTTGGTCTCATTACCACTTCAGAAGGCTTGCTGGGTAGTTGTCGAGAGGCGGTCTGGGGTTTCTCTGAGGGTCAGTTGGGGCCCGTTCCTCTCAGGTATCAGTTGGACGCTTTGGGCGAATTCATTTTCTGATGTCCAGAGGGGGCGAAGGCGACAACGTCACTACCACACTATATCGTACATCGCACGCCGCGCTGGCGCATGAAAGTGAGGGACGAAGGGTGGTGCGCGCCCCCCAAACATGGCTCCCAGTGCAGTCCCCACGTGTGGCCCCCAATGTGTGCTTTCTAACCCTTTCGTTTCATCTAAGGTGCCGTGGACTTCGCACTGAAAGTCCGAGGCTCACTAGAGCCTAAGCACGCGCGAAGCGCGCGCGTGGTTCTAGTGATTATATGTTCTCAGGGGAGCGTTGCTCCCTCCGCCAGCCGTCACGATGCACGCCTTCTGGTCCATCGCACATTCAGGTTGGTTCCACTGTCGCCTCCACTCGTTCCGTTGGTGTGGCAGATGGTTCTGCAGCGCCGCCCGCGGACGTGACCCCCGGTTTCGTGCCCCTCCCAGGCGATCCAGTGCCGGTGTGCATCCGAGGTTCAGGGAGACTGTCTCCCCCCCGCGCGCACCTGTGCCTGTTTGGAGTTGGTCAGCTCCAGGTAGGCCGTCCCGCGGCACATCTTTCTCGCCTACCCGCTACATGTCCACAAGTTTACATGAATGGCGCATCGTATCGATCATCATCATCATCATCAGCAGCAGCATCAGCATCAGCCTCAGCATCAGCATCAGCATCATCACCATCATCAGCATCATCATCATCAGCATCATCATCATCATCATCATCATTATCATCATCATCATCATCATCATCGTCATCATCGCCATCATCATCAGCATTCTTATTCTTATTAACATAATTATGTTTAGTATTATTGTTGTTACTCGTAGGATTAGTATTGTGCATATTCCTCCTCACTTGCTCCGTACTTTGTTCCCCTTGCCCGCCTCTCCCCCTGCTCCGGCTCGTCCACCTCCCCCTCTCGCTGGAAGGGTTGCGATGGGGCAAAGGGGGGAGCTCGTCCACAGGATTACTACGTTGACGTCGACGCAAGCAAGTCGATTGGTCAAGGGGTCGCCCCAGCTTCTCGCCGCCGCGTTCCAACTGCTGCTTGCTCGCTCCCCTCCAGTGGGGTTCGCCCGTGGCCCGGCTCCGGCCCCGGGCTCATTCGGGATATCCGTAAGGGCTTCGCCCCCTGCCGCCGGCCCCCTCTCTATCAGAATGGGATACATCAGAGCTATATTGAGATGTTCGGGCGCCGTCTTGATGACATTCGGGAACGTCATGCTACGGCGGCTGGCGATGAGCAAAACAGATTGATATGTTGAAGTTGTTGTTGAACGCTGTGTTGCCTTCTTGACATTTTCCTCCAGTTGTTCACTGGAAGCGCTCTGGGAACGGATGGGGATTGCTTCAGGCAATCTCTGGGAAGGTTATTTTTTTCTGCTCTGGAGAAGGAGTGGCGCCTTTGGGCAGCTTCCGCGAGGTGGATTCGTAGCGTGGGGGGTGCGCGCGAATTTGGTGTAATTTGCAGGGGATCGTGGCCTCGGGGACGCGAACGTGGCGTAATTTACGAGGGATCGTGGCCTGGGGGGCGCGACAGCGGCGTAATTTACGAGGGACCGTTGCCTCGGGAGCGCGAATGTGGTGTAATTCACGCGGGATCGTGGCCTCGGGGGCGCAAATGTGGCGTAACGAATGTGGCGTACATTACGAGGGATCGTGGCTTCGAGGGTGCGAATGTGGAGTAACTTGCAAAGGATCGTGGCCTCGGAGACGCAAATGTGGCGTAACTTACGAGGGATCGTGGCCTCGGAGACGCGAACGTGGCGTAATCTACGAGGGATCGTGGCCTTGGGGGTCGACGCAAGTTTGACTGAAGATCGATTCAGGGTCGATTCACATCGACGGACGTTCGACGCAGCTTCGACACAAGAGTGGAGCGAGTGTCTCCAGGAAGGTCCCCAGAATGAGCATCCAAGCCTTCTTGGAAGGGTGAGGGCCTCTCGGAAGCTTGGAGGGCCCTTGCCGCCTAAGCAGGCCCCCGGCCTTCCAAGAAGCCCCCTCCGTTTCTTGGGGGAGGCGCACCCCTCTCGCGCCGCCCCCGTGCCGCTTTCTCCCCCCCCCCATTATCACGCCCCCTCCTCCGCAGCCGTTTCGGCTCGCGCGATCGCTCGGCCTCGCGGGGGCAGGAGAGTCAGCCCGAGGCCAGAGAGTCGGGAGACGCCAACCGAACATCCACACCGAGCCCTGCCACGCCAATCCTGGGCGCAGACGTGGGGAGAGATGCCCTCCACAGCCGAGCCAGGAGAGCGCATGCACCGATGCGGGACCCAGGACCGAGACATCCGATGTCTGGGGTGTCTCGATACAGGGTCCCCAGAGGTTTGGACCTTCACCTCCTCCTCCTCCTCCTCCTCCTCCTCCTCCTCCTCCTCGTTGTTGTCCTCCTCCTCGTCCTCCTCCTTCTCCTTCTCGTCCTCCTCCTCCTCGTCCCCCTCCCCCTCCCCCTCCCCTTCCTCCTCCTCTTCCTCCTCCTCCTCCTCCTCCTGAATCCTTCCCCCCCTCCTCGAAATCTGTTACTTTCCGCAGTGCCAGCTTTTCCGTTGAGTTCTTCCTACCTCTCGCCCGACCCGGCTAGGGGCCCTAGAGGCCGAAGACGAGATAGAGCGTGTCCACGCTGAGTTTCTCGACGCGTTGGAGGTCTGGGGTGGAGGGTTCCTCCTCCTCCTCCTCCTCCTCCTCCTCCTCCTCCTCCTCCTCCTCCTCCTCCTCTCCTCCTCCTCCTCCTCCTCCTCCTCCTCCTCCTCCTCTCCTGTTCCTCTCCTCCTCCTCCTCCTGTTCCTCCTCATCCCCCTCCTTCTCCTTCTCCTCCTCCTCTCCTCTCCTCCTCCTCCTCCCTTCCTCCTCCTCCTCCTCCCTCTCCTCCTCCTCCCTCCTCCTCCTCCTCCTCCTCCTCCTCCTCCTCCTCCTCCTCCTCCTCCTCCTCCTCCTCCCCCTCACCTCCTCCTCCTTCCCCACCTCCTCCACCTCCTCCTCCCTCCTCCTCCACCTGTCCTCCTCCTCCTCCTCCTCCTCCTCCTCCTCCTCCTCCTCCTCCTCCTCCTCCTCCTCCTCCTCCTCCTCCTCCTCTTTCTCCTCCTCCTCCTCCTCCTCTCCCTCCTCCTTGGTTCGCCTACGGCCCCAGGGGAAACCGTGCAGTCTTGGGATGGGCCTGGCCGGGGAGTGGTGCAGGTTCACACAGTGGGGGCCCATGCCAAGAAACACCATGCTTGCCTCCAGGGTGCCCTGGGTTTCTTGGGTTCCGATGGTTTTGCCGTGGAGAGCGTGACGTTCCCACGCCAAAAATCGATGGGCGTCCTGGGGTCGCAGGGTTGGGTTTCTTGTGGAAGGTTTCTTGTGGTCGGGCCCCTACTGTAGCTGGCGTCCTCCTGCGGAGGGCGGGGCGGGGCCGGGCCTCGTGCGCCGTCGGGCCGCGCGCGGCCATGCAGGAGGGCGCTTACGACTTCGTGCTCATGGGGCCCACGGGCTTCATCTCGGGGGGCGCCGGCTGCCCATCATCGGCGCGGAGGATAAGGATGCACAGCGATCGTTACTACGAACTGGCGCAATCGACATATCGACACTGCTGAATCGGCAAGGCAAGTCGCCAGGGTGCAGAGCGATCGACGTCGCAAATCGGCAAATCGGCACTGCTAAACCAGGCGCAGGGGGTCAGCGCTGCATCAAGCGTGGTGAGGATCACGCCTTTGGAATGCAGGCTGGTTCCTCCTTGCATCCTCCTGGCCCCTGCGCCCTCGGGCGCCTCCCAGGTTGAGCAGAGACGGAGGGAACATGATTGAAGGAGGCGGTTCCCGTGGAGAAGGAGTCCTGGAGGTCTTCTCGCCGTTCTCGGACGCTCCCATGCGGACCCCTGCGGGACCGTCCAGCAAAAACAACTATGGAGGGAAAGCCAGACCCCAGCGTCCAGGCCACGAATCACGGCGGGAGTTTTCGGGTGGGGGCGCTTCCCTTGGAGCTGTGACCGTTAAGCGACGAAAGTCAGCTCAGGATGAAGAGCCGGTCTCCGGGAAGTGGTCCAGACCTCTGGGGAGCCAGGCCGTGACAGGACCACGGCGTCGGAGGTCTGGGCCCGCCTGGGGAACCCCCCCCCGGGCGCGGAGACGATCGCGCATCGCGCCCCGCTCCGTCGGAGTCTGCGCTGCAGATTCGTGCTGCTCCAGAGGGGCAGCGCGGGGGCAGCTGCGCCGCTCCGCGCGGCGAGGGGCGGCGAGGGGGAGCCAGGCAGGCCCGGGGCGCGGAGTTGGGGCCAGGCCGGGGCAGAAGCCGCCCTGGGAGCGTCTCGGAACGCTCTCGCGGAGCGCTCTGGAGCGCTCTGGAGCGGCCGCGCCGCCCGATGACCGGCCTCCAGGCTGGTCGGCTCTCGGAGATCCCCACTTCATCCTCACCCTGTCTTCGTCTTCTTGGGCGGCCCAGATCCACCGCCACCCTGGGTCCCAGGGGGCTCAGTGCCAGGCCTGGGCCCTGGGTTCGGCATCGTTTAACCAATCCCCATCCCCATCCCCTACGAGACCCCCACCAAATTACACCCCCAGATGGGGATACACCCCTCGAAACCCGAAGGGAACGACCTATATCCCCATCTAGGGGGGTAAATCGGCCAGTGGGGCCCAGGCCACGCCGCTGGGGATGGGGATCGGTTAAACGATACTCATGGGTACCAGGATGGGCCCAGGGTGCCAGGATGGGCCTGGGTCCCAGGATGGGATCTAATTGGGTCCACCGCCCTCCTGGGTCCCAGCATGGTCCCAGCCAGGCTCGGTGGAGGAGCGCAGCCGGCGTCCCCCGGCCGTCGGCGCCGCGATCCTGCAGCACCTCGAGGGCGCGGGCTACAGGACCCTGGCGACGCGCATCCGGCTGCAGGACAGGTCTGGCCTCGAGCGCTTCGCCCCCTCCTTCCCGCCCTCCCCGCCGCCTCGTCAGCGTCTTCGTCTCACCTTGGAGGAACGGGCGAGAGCGGTCTGGCGGCAGGACACCTTCTCTTGCCATCTCGCCGGGGGTATCGCGTTCCTCAGATGCTGCTGCCATTGAAGACACATAACAAAAGGGACACAGGTCCGGCCTCGAGAAGCTCCTCGACGAGGCCCGCCCCAAGATTGGCCTCATCTGCGCCGCCGGGGAGCGGGGCCGCCCGAATATCTCCTGGTGCGACAGCCACCCGGTGGAGACGCTGGACGCGAACGTCACGTGCCAGCTCGCCGTGGCCGCGGCCTGCAAGGCCCGGGGGCTTCACTGCGTGCTGGTCGGCACCGGGGTGGTATGGCTCGGAGGAGGGCCCGTCCGAGACAGCGCGGCGGCCGTTCGTTTTGGGAGGAGGAGGAGGAGGAGGGGAGGGGAGGAGGAGGAGGAGGAGGAGGAGGAGGAGGAGGGAGGAGGAGGAGGAGGAGGAGGAGGGGAGGAGGAGGAGGAATTAGGAGGAGGAGGGGGAGGAGGAGGGGAGGAGGAGGAGGAGGAGGAGGAGGAGGAGGAGGAGGAGGAGGAGGAGGAGGAGGAGGAGGAGGAGCGGGGGGGAGGAGGAGGAGGGAGGAGGAGGGAGGGGTTCTCGTCGCCACGGCTGGATCCGCGCCGCGACCAACGAGTGCTTGGGCTGTGGGGGGGGGATCCGGGGGGGCACGTCGAGCGGGTTTCGGCTGGGCGGGGGAGCCGCCGCTGTCTCGGCCTACGCTCCTCCGGCATACTCGGCGGATCCAGCGCTCCCAGGCTACCGGTTCAAAGAAGACGACCCGCCCAACGTGAAGGATCCGGGTGTGTACGTGGCCCTGCGGATTCAGCAGGAGGAGCTGCTCAAGTACTTCGACAACGTCCTCACCCTGAGGGTGCTCTACCCGGTGAGCAGCGACCTGGACCCGAGGGGTCTCATCGGCAAGCTGGCGCGGTTCCAGCGCGTCGACAGGGTTCAGACGTCCGTGACCATCTTCGACAGCCTGTGCCCGCTGATCCCCGAACTCTGCAAGCGCGGCGTCACGGGCGTGCTCAACTTCGCCAACGGCGGCACCGTCAGCTACGCCGATATCATCGAGGACTGGTGGCCCGCACACAGGGGCGGGAGGTGGGCCTTCCAAGAAGGCGGGGTGCTTCTCAGAAGGCGGGGGCGCTGTGAGAACGGTCTGGAGGTTTCCCAAGAAGGCTTCCCAAATATGCGACGTCCTGATTCTTTCAAGACGGCGTCTCCGGAAGTCCTGACCCCTTCCCTGGGACCGGTTTTTCATCCTGATGCGTTTTTGTCGCTCCCGTGGCCCGGCGAGGGCCCCCCAGGGGGCGACCATGTCTGGGTTAGAGGACCTTCTGAGAATCACCTCTGCCGTTGGAGGCCCCCCCTGCCTTGTCAGAAGGTCGCGCGCCTCGCGCCACCAAGGGCATCCGACGTTGTGCGTGCGTGTGCGTCTCCACAACCTTCAGGAGGGAAAAACACACAGACACAGTGAATCGTCGATTCCCAGGACAATATAGGAAAATATGGGAGGTGGGGGGGAAGACGAAAACCCAGAAGATCTGGGAAAGCATGGGGAACCTTGCTCTTTGTGTCCATTTGTTTGTGAGTCCCAGGGCCCCTTCAAACCTGGCCCCCGGATGGCCGGACCCCTTCCCCGGGGATTGGTTTCGACGGTCCCGGAGCCCGCGAAGGGCCCCCAGCGGCGGGAGTCTGAGCGACGCAGGATACCACGGGCTCGCTTGCGCCGACGTTCGCGCGCACGCTCGCCGCGTCAGGCCGCGCGTGAGCGCCCTCTTGTTTCCACTGCGGCGTGCTGCGCCGGCGGCCCGGGTAGGCCGCCGCGCAGGGTCGCTGGGCCATCTGGCGCAAGTCCCGCGTCTAGTCGACGCTCCGATTGCCAAGGAGGTGCCGTCGTGATTTCCTGTCATGATGCGGGGATGTCTGGCTAGAAGGCCGCCCCACTCCCGCCACACCCCCTGGGCGTGCCGCCACGAGGAGTGTCCGATGCTCGCATTTCGCTTTTGTGCGTCCTGGCGCAGTCGATCCGATCCGATGTCGACTCCGTGCCGGTGCGGCCCGATCCGACATACGCTCTGATCCGACCCGACTTCCCGATTCGATGCTGACTTGTCCTGGCTCTTCGGCGCACCCGAAAGGTCTGCAGAGGTCCCGCCCCCCTTCCCGGGGGGGGGGGTAGCATCTCGCCCCAGATCCACGCTTGATGGTGGGGTCCAGGGGCCCGACGGCGGGCCCCAGGGACCGAACTTGGCGGGAAAGATCACCAGGACTGAAACAAACGGAGATCCGGGCTCGCGCCTCCTCCTCTTCGTCCTCCTCCTCCTCCTCCTCCTCCTCCTCATTCCTCCTCCTCCCACTCCTCCTCCTCCTCCTCCTCCTCCCCCTCCTCCTCCTAATTCCTCCTCCTCCTCCTCCTAATTCCTCCTCCTCCTCCTCCTCCCTCCTCCTCCTCCTCCTCACCCCCTCCTTCCTCTCCTCCTCTCTCCTCCTCCTCCTCCTCCTCCTTTCCTCCTCCTCAACAATTCTCAATATGAAAATACTCTCCCTCTTCCCCTGATGGCGTCCGGGTGATGGCCGCGCACCCTCCGCGTACTGTTTTTTACACACAGGATTCCCGGGAAATCCCGGGAAACGACTCTCGCTGAGGCGCCGGCGTCATTTTTTCTCAAAATGCTGCTCTCGTTGAGGCGCCGGCCTCATTTCTGCTCCCGAATCGTTCCGAATCGTGCTCCCGCTGCAGCGTGGGCCTCATTTTCGGATCGGTGTTTGGCCTCCGTCGTTCAGGATGGCGTTCTCGCCCCAGCGCGGGCCTTTTTCTCGCGCGCCCATCCGCCCGCCACCACCGCGCCGCACCGCCACCACCACCACCACCACCACCACCACCACCACCACCACCAACACCACCACCACCAGCACCCACCAGCACCACCACCACCACCACATCACCACCACCACCACCACCACCACACCACCACCACCACCACCACACCACAACAACCACGCACACACGCACGCACGCACGCACGTGCACCACCACCCACTACGCACGCGCGCGCGGAGCCACAGGTCCGCTACGACACGCGTCCGCGGATAGAGAAAATCAGCGCCATGGTAAGGGATGGGAGGGAGGGGTAGGACGTCAGATATGACGCGAGCGCACCTAGCTTGTCCTCCTCCCCCTCCCCCTCCCCCTCCCCCTCCTTGTGCGCCGCCGAGAGGAGTTGGCGAGGCGGGCGCCCCAAGGCCGGAGGAAAGAACAGCGGGACCACCACCAAGGGGGGGCGCCTCCAGCGAGAGGTCGTCGGTGCCTCCCCAGCTGGCGATCAGAGATGTCCTGAGCGAGAAGGGGGAACCAGGTGCACCACCAGGAGGACCCTCCCTGGCACCCGGCGCTGGTGGTGGTGTCGCCTGTCCCAGGCATCCGACGTGGTTATCTTTCCACCACGTGGCTCCCCGAGGGGTCTGGACCCCTTCCCCGGGACTGGCTTTCCGCCCCGAATCGCTTGCACGGCCCCGGGGCCCAGCGAGAGTTTCGAGAGATACCGACAACCTCACGTCGTGATGCACAAGAATGTCAGAGCTCCTCGATCCCACCAAGCAGGGCCCTTCCGATCCTGTCGATACGATTCTAGGCCAATATCGGCCAGTTCGGTCCAATTCGATTTCGATGTGCTGGTGATCCGATGCGGCCCGATGCTCACATGGCGCTGTTGTGGATCCTGGCGCAGCCGATCCCATTCGATTTCGACTCCGCGCCGATGCTGCCCGATCCGTCGCACATTCCGATTCGATCCGAGTTCCCGATCTGATGATCCCAGACCCCCGACGTCATGACTTCGACCCCCACGGGTCTCGACCCATTCCCCGGGACCCGTTTTTCATCCGGAGTCGTCCTGTGACGGTCCCTGGGCCCGGCAAGGGCCCCTGGGGATTGAAAGTAGCGAGAACCCTTCCGTTCGACATTTCTCTTGGTGCTCGAACTCATTTCTGGGATGTGGTCCTTGAAGTAGGGTGGGATGCACATTGCCGTCGTGACTTTGTTCGTGGCGCGCGGGTCTGGGCTCCTCGCCCCCGCCAAGGGTGGCAACCGCCGCCGCTCGCCGAGGGCGCGGCGCGCGCCGCCGCCGAGCTGGACGTCGCGAGGCTGGCAGCGGCCTGCGGCCGGCCGGTGCCCGACGCCGCCGAGGCCGTGCGGGGGATCATCCGGGCGATGCCGGAGGCCATGGCTCAAGCAGTGGCGAAGCGTCTCAGCCCGCCCGTAGGCCTACCAGACAATGTTCTGAGAACCTTGTTTGTGGTTTCCACGAGATGTTCTGAGAACACGTCTGATTGGGGCTGTCTTGTTTTAACACGCCGGGTTAATGTTCTAAGAACATTTTTTTGTTCTTAGAACGTTTTTGGGTTCTAAGAGCATTTCATGGTAGGCCTATAGGAATGCCAGGACGGTCGGTCCCTGCTCAGATGGCGGGGGGCCTACGGATGACAGTCGAACAGCACGACGACGACGACGACGACGACGCCACGACGACGACGACGACGACGACGACGACGACGACGACGACGATAACGACCACGACCACGACGACTACGACGGTGGCGACGACGGCGGCGGCGGCGGCGGCGGCGGTGGCGGCGGCGGCGGTGGCGGCGGCGGCGGCGGCAACGACGGTTGACAAAGGAAGACGCACCCATACCCACAAGGGTGACAGAGGGGGCGATGGGTGGGTGTGGTCGGATGGGTCGACGTCGAATCTATTTATTTTGACGGTCCGCGCGGATTTTTCTTGCATCGGCGCTTGGGCCCCCCTGTTGGCGCCTCCGGCGCCGCCCCTGACACGCTCCCCGCGCCAGGGAGGGGGGTCAGCGCAGGTCCAAGAAATCCGCACGGAATTGTTGACGCTTCGCGTATCCCCACCAGTGGCCGACACGATGCTGTTGTGTCACTTGCGGCACGGATGTCGCCCTGGAGTGCCTGTCGGACCTGCTCGTTTTTGTCGGGCCCTATGCCGACTCACACCGGGTGATCGGCCTTTGCGTGTTCATGGTCGCGCCGCCGCGCCATTTTGGCTGCGCCTATTTGATGGTCGCCACGGGGATTTCCACGCCACCGGGTTGGGAGTGCCGCTCCTGGTGCTCCTTCTGGGTGGCTGCCCGCGCGCTCGCTTCGCTTGCCGCTCTCTTTTCTTGCTGCCTAGTCGCGGCCCTGCTAGTGATCGGACGGTATTCGACTTGCTTCGCGAGCCCGCAGACCAAAAAGTATCCCCACCAGCTGCCCCCCTTCACTCTTGCGCCGACACGATGTTTTGGCATTTGTGTCGCCTACTGCACGGATGTCGTCTGGGTGTGCCTGTCGGTCTAGTTCGTCTCTGACGTTGCTGTTTGCCTGGCTCACGCCGAGCGATCGACCTCTGCGCGTTTATGGTCGCGCCGCCGCGCCATTTTGGCTGCGCTTACTTGCTGGTCGCCGGATTTCCACCGCCACGGGGTTTCTTTCTGAGTGGCTGCCCGCTCGCTCGCTTCGCTTGCCTTTTTCTTCCTGCTGCCTAGTCGCGGCCCCACTAGTGTTTGGACGGTTTTCGACCCGCCTCGCGAGCCAGTTGACCAAAAAGTATCCCCACCTGCTAGGGCGCAGGCCTTCTGGCTCCCCCCTCAGCGGGGTTTTCTCCCCGGCGGTTCCCCGTTGGTTTCCGTCACTCACCCATCATGCGACCGTTCGTCGCTCCTCGTCTGCCGCTGGTCCTACGTGCCGCGCCTTCTCTTCCTGACCTGCGGACGCTAGCCGCTTCCAACTTGCGTTCCTCGTGCTTCATCCAAGTTGCGACCGTTAGTCGCCTCCTGCATGTCGCAGCGCAGCTCTCACCGCGGGCGCCCCCCCTCGCCCGCGGTCCGTTGCCTTGCTCGCCTGCCTCCTCGCTCGCGGTACTCGCGGCCTCCCTAGTGACCGCCCCGGCCTCGTTCCCAATACCGCCTGGCGCGTGCCCCGCTGGGCCGGCTGGCCTGCGCCAGGCTTCCCGGGACGTCCTTGTCTGGAACAACTGACGTCATCGCCGTGTCCGCTCCTCACGGCTCACCCAGCGTCGTCGCACTACCGCCGCTCGGGTCTCTCTTTTGCCGCACAGTTGTCGCGGGCTTCCCAGGTTCCCGCTTGCCCTCTGCTGCCCCCCGCTAGTCTCCCAGACCCCGCGCGCGAGGTCGCAGGGAAACCCCCTCGGCCAAGGGCGCCGGTGTGCCAGCCTCCCTTCCATGGGACTCTCCCCGGCGCCTCTCTGTCGGGATGGCCCTCGTTGCCTGCCTCCCTCGCGGCCCCTCCGCGGCCGTGCTGCCCCTTCCCGTCAGTCCTCAGGCTGAACCTTCTCGCCACTTTGGCGGCGCGGGGTGCCGGTCCCCGCCTGATGGCACCCACGGCACCTTCCCTGTGTCTGGCGTTCCGCTCCGGATCTGTTCCGTCGAGCGCTTGCATGATTGGGATCTTTTTCGCAGCGTTGACCTCGATGTCTTACGTTCCGCGGTCCGGCGGCTCGTGGACTCGCTGCTCGTCTCGCTGGAGGTCTTCTACGTGGTCGCGGAGCTGCCCTCGAATTGCACCATTTTGGTGCTGCACTTCGCCCAGAAGTTCTTCCAGGTGTGCGCCGTCCCGTGAGCGGCAGCGAGGCTCGCCTCCTGTTTGCCCCCTCCCGCTCGGTGATCTCTATTCCGCGTTCGTTCTCTTCCTCCTTTCGCCTCCCTCTTCCTGCGCGCTAATTTAGGCCGTTGCATCTGCGTTTCGCGCCTTTACGCCGCCCGACCTCGCCGCGGTCGCGATCAAAAAGTACCCCCGCCAGCCCGTCCGATGCCCAGGGGAGTTGAGGTGATCAGGGAAGTGGGGTAGCATGCGGAAGAACAAAGGGCGGGGGGAGCCGTCATGCACCCCGAGAGGGGGAGGAAGGAAAAGGAGTTGTCGGAGGAGGAGGAGGAGGAAAAGGAGGAGGAGGAGGAGGAAAAAGGAGGAGGAGGAGGAGGAGGAGGAGGTGGAGCAGGGAGAGGACGAGGAGGACGAAAAGGAGGAGAAGGATGAAGAGAAGGGAGAGTTGGCACCTCGGGGATCCTCTGAAGGCCTCGCGTTGGGTCTTGGGAACCTCTTGGGGCCGTCTGGGCGCCTCTTGAGGCCATCTTGCGGCGCTCTTGGGAGCCTTGGGAGCGCTTTTGGGGCGGTCTTGGAGGAGATCGATCAAAGAAGAGGGGTTCCCTAATTCGCCCCCCCCCCCCCCCCTCTCGGGAGCCGCAGAAGTCGCCTCTTGGGGCGCTCTTGGAGTGCTATTGGGCTCTCGTGGGGCCGTTTTCGGGTTTTTTGGGGTCTCTCCTGGGGCCATCTTGGGCCATCTTGGAGCCACCTTGAGGCCTCGGATGGCCGTCGGAAGCAAAAAGGCGAGAAAACAAAAGACATGTTTTTTTTTGTTCCCTCCAGTGTTTGAAGGTATGTTGCTTCTTTAGGGGCCTCCTTGGAGGTCCCGGAGGCGTCTTGGAGCCGTGTTGGAGCATTCTTGGGGCCTCTTGGAGCATCTTGGCAGCCAACTTGAAGTATCTCTGGCTATCTTGAGCCGCCTTGGAGGTCATGTTGGGCTCTCTGAGGCCCTCTTGGAGCCACCTGGGGCGAAAAAGTGCCCGCTGACACCTCGCGGGGCGCCCCGTGCAAGTCCAAGGGGGGGGTATGGGGGGAGGGGCAAACCCCTCCCCGGAGGGGAAAAAGGGGGTTGGAAGAGAAACCTCCCTAGTCAAGGGAGGTTCCTCTTCCAACCCTAGGGAGGCTCCTCTTCCAACCCAAGTCTAGGAACCTCCCTAGTATAGGGAGCGCCCTTTTGGGCGTAAGTGGTCTAGTAGACCACCTTCGCCCAGAGGGCTGGTGGGACTTTTATGTTTACGTGTGACTTCCTGGGGCGATCGGTGCGTGTTATCGGATGGGGGCCCCCGCTCGAACGGGAGCCCGCCCCGGGTCTGACCATCCACGCTCATCTCATAGCCAGTCTTCCTCCGTCCGACCCCCCAAGTTGTGAGTGTGTTGGTCGCTCGTCAGCGGCGGTGGGGGCGTTCGTTGAGGAGTGTGCCCAGGAGGCTTCAGACCCTGGGGGGCTCCTTCTTGGATGAGAGCGGCAGTGACGTCCATGGCGAATCCACGAGTGCAGTTCCACCGGCCTCCAGACCCTGGATACCCTGTCCAAGGGATCCTCATCCCGCGCCCTCACCGTGCCCACGTCGGGGACGGCAACGGGGGGCAACAGACTTGGTGTGGGGGGGGGGGTCGAGGGTTGTGGGGAAGGGGGACCCGAAATGGCCCCTAAGCGGCATGCAGACATACATAAATAAATACGTGCGTACATATACATACAAATACATAGGCACGCACCTATGTAAATGTAAGCATACATACATATACCCGGTGCGCGCCTGGAGGCCTGGGGCAGCAGGATACGCTTTCGCCCCCGCTGCACAGCCACGTGTCGAGCAGATGAGAATTGCGTTGATTGCCCCCTCCCGTTCACGAACACCCGATCCGGTCTCCGATCTCCCTTGCCCCCCCCACGATCTCCGACCTCCTCTTCCCGACCTCCGGCCTCGCCTCGGGGCGTCTCCGATCTCCGGCCTGCGGGGGCATCGAGGACCTCCTCGACCCCTGGTGGTGGGGCCGCCTTTCTTTCCTCCGGTCTTGGGGCGCACGCCTCGCCAGCTCCTCCTCGTCGAGGCGCGCAGGGGGGCGGCGCGAGCCGAGATCCCCGACGGCGCGTTTTTGGCTCGACCCCAGTGGTCTCCCATGATTTCGGCCCCCGGGCCCCGTCGTCGGGCCCGGGGGTCACAGCGCAGCGCAGTCCGAGGTCAAGGCCAGGCCTGTATGCCCACGGGGGAAGGCCACGTGTAGGGCACAGGCGGGACAAAATACAGACGTGTCGGGTCGCTGGATGTGGCGAGTGGCAGGTTTTAGATGTGCTTGCGAAAGTTGCTTGGGCCCGGCGGTCTCGCCACTGGCTAGCGGGGGCCTCCCCATCAAAAGCGGATGCGGATCTTGGGCGAGACACTACGCGTTGTTCATTTCTAGTGTTTCGAAGGTTATTTGATTTTTGGGGGGCCAAGATCCTTCACTTCTAATTGTTCTATCCTGGGCCTCTTCCTGGCCACTAGGGGGCCAGGAACAATTAGAAACGAACACCATGATACCATGATGTAGAAACGAGCACACATGGACATGAACGACGTGTACTTCTGGAGACGGGTCGGGACCTTCTCGGGGCCGCGCGTCGAAAGATCTCACCGTCGGCGATGCCAGGGAGAATCACGACCGGAGATCAGTCCCCAGCTTTCTGCGGCGTGTCTTGAGCCAGATGGATCTGTGAGGGCCCTGGGAGGCGCCGCCAGTGGGTCCCAGCGCCGATCCGAGAGGTCCACGCGGACCTCCGAGTTTGTGTGTTTGTGTCGTTGTCTGTTCCCCTGCTCCTGCCTCGAGGGACCCCAGCCGGTCCCCGGAGAGGGGCCTATATATAACGATATTTATATATATATATATATATATATATATATAGGCAGACCTTCTTGGAGAGACGCGTGATGACGAGAGCCCGGCATCGGATATCTTGGGCCCTTCTCCCTGGGCGCGGGCGACCGTGGAGCGCCCCTGGCCGGTCCAGCGAGGGCGCACGCCAGCGCTCCTGGGCGCCCAGTGGTCGTTGGCGACGAGCGCTCTAACCACGCGTCCACCGCCCCCCGGCCAGGCCCGCCCCGGGTCCAGGAGCGCTGTGCATGCCTCCCTCGCCGAGCCGGGCGGGCGTATATCTGGGCCTCCCAGATGGGGTCCGAGCAGGTGGGGTCGGAGGATCGCACCGCATCGACGATGCGGCTCGATGTGGAGCGAGATCTTCCCCACGCCGACGTCGCGCATGCGTCGCCGACGTCGCCGATGCATCGCCGATGCATCGGTGATGCATTGGCGATGCGGATTGATCCTCCGACCCCGTCTGCTCCGACTCCATCTAGGAGGTCTCCAGTACATGCACCGCTCCTGGTCCCGGTAGCTACGGGCCTGGCCAGGGGCAGACGTCCGACACCTGGAGCTGCTCAGCGCGCGGTCCCAAGAGGTCTGGTCCCTGCGCCAGGGGCCGACCATGGCCGCCGGAGGCCGAAGCCAGCGAGCCAGACTCCGCCTGCAGCTTCTCGAGACGCCGGAGGCCTGGGCCGCCCTGCGGGATGGGCCCAGCCCGGCTGGCGAGAAGCAGAGATCCGTGCCCGCGGCCTCGCGGGCCCCGCCCTGGGCCGCGACCTCGGCGCTCTGTCGCGGAGGCCCCGCGCGCAGCGTGCCCGTGCGAGCGCGCGTCCGCGGGCTCCCGCCCCGGGGTCCAGACAGCCACCAGGGCGTGGAGGCGGACGTGCTCGCCGCTCGGTGGCCGGCCAGGACCGTCGAGGTGCTCCGCTGGCGCCCCCCCCCCCCCGACCGAGGCCGAGCTCGGGCGCCTCCTGCCGAGCGCCTCCTGCTGAGGCGCGGCCCGGCGGGCCGCTCGCCCGGGCGCGGGCGCTCTGCCGGCGGGGCAGGGGCGGGGCGGGGCAGAGCCGGCCACGCGCAGAGGGGGAGCAAATGATGTCAAGCAGCGGCGAAGTGTCCTGGCTCGCCTATAGCCCTACCCAAACAATGATCTAAGAACCTCTCGTGGTTTCCAGGAAATGTTCCTAGAGCATTTCTGGCGGAGCCCGTCTTGGTTTAACACATCGGGTATATGTTCTAAGAACATTGTTTTTGTTCTTAGAATATTGTTGGGTTCTAAGAACATTTCGTGGTAGGACTATAGGAATGCCGGGACGGTCGGTCCCTGCTGAATGAGGGGGAGGGGGGGGGGGGAAAGCTTCTCAGAAGCACCCCCGCTTCTTGGAAGGCGCGGGCCTTGTCTGTAGGTGTGTCAGGCCTGCGCCTTCTGAGAAGCAGCCTCCTTCTGAGAGGCCCTCCCCCCTCCCTCTACCCTTGCGTCGGGCCTGTCCCTCCACAGGAGGAATCTTCAAACATAGTCCACAAACAGTCTAGAGACGATGTTTCTATCATTCCTTGGATCATTTTTGGAGATTTTGGAGGGTATTTTCCATTTGTCGTCCAAAATCCACCTGGGGGGGGACATGCCCGACCTGAGCCTACCCCCTCTGCGCACCGCCAGCAGAGGCCAGGCGGGAGGAGCTGGCTGCCCGAGCCCCGGGCATCCACTGAGCACAGCCTCCCACGGTTTCGCCGCGGGCCCCCTCGTCGACGATTCTCGTTCGATGCTGCACCGCAGGCGATTTCGCCCGAGGAGCCCTCTGCAAGGGCTCCCACGAGAGCGCGAAGTTATTCGCGCTTCGCGGTCCTCGTTCCTTCTCCCCCTCCTCCTCGTCCTCCTTTCCTCCCTTTGGGGTGGCGGCGCGAGAGCGCGAAGTTATTCGCGCAGCGCGAAGCGCGAAGTTGGGAGCCCTCTTGGGGCGAAGCGCGTAGCCCCGTTTCGCTTCTCCCTTGAGACTCGATCCAGAGCAAGAGTGTACAACAGGGGGAAAGCGTCGACGGCTCGAACCGATACCTCCAACGTTCGGCGGGGAGCCCAGGCGGGAAGCGAGCGGGGGCAGGCCTTTTCAGAAGGCGGCTGTGCTTCTCAGGGGCCCTCGCGGCTTTTGAGAAGTTTTCTAAGCCCTCTCAGAAGACAGGACGTGGCGCTGGTTTCAGCACACCCAAGAGGGAGTTGCCAGGGGATATCTCACTCCCCCGTTTGCGCCCAGATTGCGGGGATGTCTCGAGCGATTTGCATGTTTCACCGCCCCAACATCCCCCGTTTTCGGAGCAGATGTTGATGATGTCTCGGGCGAGGCGTTGGCTTTCGCATCCCAGGTAGCCCAGATGGCGAGGATGTCTCGAGCGGTTCGCTTGTTTTGGTGGCCAGACTCGTCTGCGTTCAGGTCGTATTTCTTGTCTTTGTACGTATGTCCCTATCGATTGCCCATCCTCTATGGCTTCAAGTGTTTGACTCATGTTCCTATAGATTGGGCACCCTCCTGGGGCACGACTCCTTCGTATCTTACGTATGTTACTATCGATTGCCTTTTCCTGCATCTCCAATCTCAAGTGTTTTACGTATGTTCCTAAAGATCTCCTGGGGCACGAATCATCCCCAGGCGGCCCCATGAGGTTCGAGGAGGCACCAGGAGGCACAACGGAGTACCAGGAGGCCCCAGGAGGCCACAGGAGGCCCCACGAGGCGCCAGCAGGCCACAGGAATGGCTCCAATCCTAAATTTGTCTTTGAATTGTTTCAGCTGACTTATTTGACCGATGTCCCCGTGTGTTTTGTACCACCTGCCAGGACCCAAGGGTTGAAACATCCGTTTTTCTATCTCTCACTCTGTTCTCCTCGCTCTTTCTTTTTCTCCACAGCCTGTCTTCGGCTTAAGACGGGCGGCAGCGCGCGGGCCGCATGGTGTCCGCCTCCGGCGTGCCCGCGTCGCTGCCGGCGGCCTTGCTGGTGGCGCTGCTGGCGTCATGGGGGTGGTTCCTGAGTTGGTTTCGCCGGTGCTAAGAGTGAATTCATCGTGGATTTGCGTCTTCGCTTTTCATTTTTATTTTCCTTTTTTCTGATATGCGCACGTCAATCGATCATGTGGCTCGGGCGTTCGTGTGAATGCCGCGTGGCCAGCGAATTTCGAATGTCTTCCGTGCCCTTGATTCTTCCTCATCGTATTCATTTATCTGATTCCTCTTGCCTGCATTGTTTTTCTCTTCATTTCCCGCCCGCTGTCATCTTCTTTTGTCAGGGCCTGTGGCAGGATCCAACAGGGCGCCAGGAAAGCTGCAAGTGAGCTCGAGGAGAGCCCAGCAGGTCCCGAGAAGGATTGCAAGCAGGCCCTAGGGTCCCAAGACAGGCTTTGTAGGGGTCCAAAACAACTTGCAGACCTGTCTCCTCGCATATGTTCGGACGCGTTTCGGCCGTGGTCCGCGGGGTTCTACTGTTCATCCGCCTTTTTGCCTTCATTTCCGACGCCTCGCGTATTTCCGCCAGCCAAGGCAACAGCAATCACCAGTCGAGTTGCCTCGATCAGCATGTGTAGCAGCATGCGGCGCCGCAGCGAACCGAACGTGTTTTCACTGGTCCTGCGCGGGAGGAGGAAGAGGAGGTGGAGGAAGCGAAGGAACAAAAATGGTGGCGAAGGACCAGTAGTAACGAAAGAAGAGGAACAGCAAAAGGATGGACGCGTGCTGGAGGAAACAGCAACATGCTAGAGAATGAGAAGGTCGGAAGGATGATGAAGGACCTGAGGGGGGGGGGGAGGGTTACGAGGAGCCAGGGGGAGGTAGCAACCGCATTGGTGATCCGCGCAGAACACCAGTGCGCCGCATCCTTTCGTAAACGAGGATGCAGGAATGTGCCAGATGGGGAGGTGGGAGGAGCATGGGGGAGGTAGGAGGACATGGGGGTAAGAACACTCAGGACGAAGCAGTTCCAGAGACGGTGCCCAGGCAAATTGTGTTGATCAGAAACGTGCGCCAGCATGGTGCTCAACCAAGAGGGCGACGCTGTTTACGTTAGAAACGTGAGGACGGCGCAGGAGGAATCGGAGGATTAACAGCAGCGGGGAAGGAGGACAAGGAGGAGGATGACGAGGAAACGGAGGAGGGGCGGGATGAGGACGAGGAGTAGGAAAAGGAATGATGGGAGAGAAAAAGTCACGACGACGGCCAGAATCAATCATGGAGGATTTTGTTTGTTTTTCGCACACGGCTCTTGTTAGAAGCCCCTTGGGGTGATTTGTGGGCCATTGTGGAGCTAATTTGGAGCCATTTTGGGAGAGCCTACGGGGTCCTCTTGAGGCTGTTTCGGGCCTCCTTGGGATCCTCTTCGGGGTCTCGTGGGCCCGTCTTGGAGGCCTTGGGGGCCCTCTCGGGGCCATCTTGGAAACGCCGTCAGTCAAAGAGTACGGGGGGGGGGTCCTTGCAGCGCCCCCTCTCTGGAGCCGCCCACGTCGCCTCTTGGTGCTCTCTTGGGGCGTTCTTCGGCTGCTCTTGAGCGCTCTCGGCGCCGTCTTGGGGCCTGTCGGGTTCTTCTGGAGGGCCATCTCAGGCCAGCGTGGCCATCTCGAGGCCTCAAGAGCCCATGGAAAACGAAAAGGCGACGAGACATAACACATAGCACGCAATGGTTTTCACTTTTTTGGTCTTGGAGGCCTCCTTGGAGAGCTCGAAGGGCGCGCGGGGCCGTCTTGAAGCGGTCTTGACGACTCTCAGAGGCATGTTGGAGGCTATTCGGAATCGTCCTGGGATGCACTGAGCGATATTGGAGGCGTATCTGGGCTCCTTGCAGCCATCTCGGATACATTTTATGCCGCATTGGGCGCTCCAACGACCCGCGGCCACCTTCCCGCGCATGAAGGATTGGGCGGGGAAATGGGGAACCGTGTCCATGAAGGGGGAGAGTGGGCTTGGATGAATTACTTCGTCACGCCGCTCACGCTTAAAGGGGTGCTGGGATTCCTGCCCCCCTCCGGCCCTCTCCTGCGGCGCGCCCCCCCACTCCCTGTGACTTCTCCCCCCCCCCCCCTCCCTCCTTCCAGGCTCCGCGCGCGGCCTAGTGAAAACTTCGGGGGGAAAAACAAAAACTCGTTTTGAATGCCTCTCCGAATTCTTGGTGGATTTTTCCTTGGGCGCGCGCATCGAAAAAAACGCGCGCGGAAAAATCCGGAGGACACCCGGAAAAATTCGCGCGGCTTCCGGGGCAAATTCACATTTGGATTTGGAAAAATCCGGGCAGAATTCACTCGAGAATCCGGGATAGTATTCCCAGGCGGCCGTGGAAAAATCCCACCAGCCATGCAGAGCGTGGGTGGTGGTTTAACGGGCTAGCTTATCCGCGCGTTTCTCCCCGGCAGGGACGGCCCCCCCCCCCTGCCCTCTCGTCCCCGGGCGTGGGCAGAGAGTGACCGCGGGGCGGTGGAGTGCCCGAAATGGCCGAAGATGGCTCCAAAGGAACCGCCGGCAACCCAAGAAGGATTTCCGAGATCGCTCCATATACTTGCAGATGGTACAATTTTGCTTCCAATGCGCCTCCAAGCCCCCTCAAGACCGCTTCGTGACAGCCCACAATTGTCTTTCGAGCTCTTGAAGGAGGCCTCCAACAGGTTCAATTCCTTTACAATCACTGCGCGCCTCAATGTTTTCCTTCTCGCCTTTTTGCTTTCCGTTGTTTCTAGAGGCCTCGAGATGGGTGCGAGTTGGTTTGAACTTGCTTTGAGAGGGGGCCATCAGGGCCCAAGTCGGCTCCAAGAGCACCAAAGAGCGGCCCAAAACGCTTCAAGGGCGTCGCAAGAGGGCCGCATTTGGCGACTGGGGGGCTCGAGAAGGAAGGGGGCGTTGCTAGGGCCCCACTTCTTTGACCGACGGCTTCAAGATGGCCCCAGGAGGACCCCCGAGGCTTCCAGGAGGGGCCCAGGAGATCCCCGAAACGACCCGAAGAGGGCCCCAAGGGGCTCCAAGACAGCCGCCGAAGGCAGCCAGAATTGCCCTAAGAGAGCGCCGCGGCGGCACCGATATGACGACGTTGATGGGGCGTCCCGCAGGCACCTAAAGCGAACGACTCGAGATCCTCGATGATTGATGCCCGTCGTCGTCAGCGTGTTTTTTCCTTTCTATCCTTTATCTTCCCCTTCCTTATCCTCCTCCTCCTCCTCGTCCCTCTTCTGTGACCTCCTCCTTTTTCTGCTCCTTCCCCGTTCCTGCGCATCTTCCGATTAATTAATCCTGCGCCCTTTTTTTCCCTAATGCAACGGTTGTCCTCGTTTTTTTTCTCGCGTTGCATGTTGCTTCACTTCGCTTTCATGCTTAGCGCAACTTGCTTGGGATTCGAGTCTGCAAATGCTTTCTGCTGCATGTTCTTGCCCCTCCGATTTCCTCATACTTCCTCCTGCTCCTTGATCCTCCCACCTCTTCCTACACCCTCGCTGGTGAGGGCGCGCGCTTCACGCGCGTTCCGCACGGATCACTGGTGCGCCTTTTGCCTCCCTCAGGCTTCTTGTGCTTCTTCCTACCTCCCCCAAGCTCCTCTTCCGTGTTCCTACGTGCTCGTGCTCTTGCACGTTTCCAGTCTTTCCTATCACCATACTCCCTCTCTTCACCGTGTTCATTATGATTTTCATGTTCCGCCCTCCTCTCCTTTGCTCCGCTTCCTGCACCTCATCATCCGCGAATGCGGATGCG